GCCCCCCCACCCCCCCCTGCCACTGATTCGCTGCCAGGAGAATGGGCGCTGGGAGCCCCCCCAGATCGCCTGTGTGCCCCGCAGACCTGTGAGTGCCAGGAGTGGGCTGTTTAGGGCATGAGCCAGCAGTGGCCCGGGACTTCAACCCCAGCTCTCCACGGTACTTGCCGTGTGACGCTGGAGTAGTCACTGCCTCCCTCCGGGACAAAGACACCGAGGTAGTCTGGATGATCCGAGGTCCTCTTCCATGTCGGCGTCTGAGAGCATGTGGTCACACTCTGGGCTCTTTAGGGCTGAGCCAGGGCGAGCGTTCTGATGAGGTCAGAGGTCATGAGCAAGCACTGCAGAGGGCAGGCTGGGAGAGGAGAGGAGGAGCCCAGGGTGGAGGGTGAGTGTGTGTGTCTTCCCCAGGCCCGAGCTCCACGCCCAGCCAAGGGCCCAGAAGGACGTCAAGGGAGACTACGGGGGCGCTGGAAGGCGCGCTGAGCCCTCCTCCCAGCCCCACGCCAGGTCCCTAGGGGACCAGGTCATGACTTCTGCTGCCCCAGCACCATCCTCACCCCAACCCTCCCTTGCCCCCTGTGCTCTTCCCGCCAAAGGAAGTGACAATATGAGAAGGCTGGGGCTGGAGTCCAGGTGACTGTGCCAGCAGGGGCTTCTGGGAAATATCCAGGAGGCTCCAGCCCAGTCCAGGTCCTCTCTCCCACCCCCCTGGGCCTCAGGGTTTTCCCTCAGGGCGACAGCTAAGTCCCTAAGTGCCTCAGTGCCCTCTCCACCGGCCAGTCTGTCCCCTCCACTCCCCTAGTGCCTCTAGGGGGCACTGTGCCCGTTCATTCTTGATTTTCCAAGGGATGGAGTGCCAGTGAAACCAGCGGGAAATAAAGCTGCGTTTGAGCCCAAACAAGTTCGCTGCTTCTGTGAGCGTGTGTGCGTGTGCGTGTGAGACAGAGAAGTGTGGTTGGGCAGGGCCTGCTAGGCTCAGTAGAGTTTCTGGGGTTATTAGCTGCCGAAGGTCAGAGAAACCCGGGTAGAGGATGGACAGGGACCGGCCCAGAACACTGCCCCGTAAGTGCACTTGGAAAAAAGAAACCTGCTGGGGTTGGGGACGGCCAGCGAGACGTCTGGAAAGAGATGGAGGGCCCACGAGTCAAACAGGGAGAGGCTGAGGTCCCAGAGAGGACGGCAGACAGGTGGGTGCCTCGGTGTCCCCGTTTGAGTTTCCGGAGGGAGTTCGCTGGGAGCAGGGTGCGAGAGCGAAGGTGGAGAGCCCTGGTAGCACTGCAGCAGGAGTGGGGCTTTGACTGCAGGAAGGCTCACGTCCGCCAGAGGCGGCAGAGATGCAGGAGATAGAGAATCCAGGTAAGGACGGAGCCGGCTGCCAAGCCGCGCTGTGGGTAGCGCCCTGGGGAATGACCTGCGGGTCTCACCGGCTGCGGCCAGCAGAGGGCGCAGCGCACGCAGGCACGCGGCTCGGAGAGCGTCGCTTGCGCGTGCGTGAGCGGAGACGGGCGGGAGGGATGGGAGGCG